TCTTTGCTTGAGTGGTCTAATTCATCCACTTTATCTTCCAGTCTTGATATTCTGTTTTCCATTTCATTCATCTTATTGGTGAGGCTTTCTCCTGTCATTTCTAATTGGCTTACTGAGTGTTTCAATTACTTCTTCATTTCAGCCTAAGCATTTTTCAATATTTCTAACTCTTCTGAATTCATTCAGAAGTTTATCCCTATTGTCTTTCAGTTCTTTGATGTCTTTGTTAGTGTGTTCTTTAAATTTGCTGAATTATTTTATCATGTTTGTAATTGTTCTTTCGAGTTCCATATCCTGTGTTATCTCTAGGAGGTTCTCATTGTACTCCTCTGGAAGAATGTACCTGGTGGGGACATATTACTTTGGCTTTTCCTATTATTTTTCTCTGTGACTTTGACATGTGGATTTCTTTTGTAATTTCTGGTTCTTGTGTGAGACTCAAGCCTTCCTTTGTTGAGTTTAGGTCTGCTTCTTTTTGTAAACTCTATGTACTTTTGTGGTTTACTTGTTGGGCATGAAAAGCTGGCTTTTCAGGTCTCGGCTTCAAGTTCTCTCTTTTTATTTTATATTGGAGTGGCCAAGTTGCTTTCATCTTGCTGCTCAGGAGTTCCCACAGAGGCCCAAGTCGAATGATGCTCTCAGGCTTTCTCCTAAGGTCTGGATCCCTCCAGGAAAGATGCTGGCCTCAGGAATTTGATGGCTGGGCTGGCCTGGGAGCAGGGCCCAGGACAGATGCCTGCCCCAGGGATGCAAAGGGAGGTGAAAACGAGAAGAGGCCCGAGGGCTCCTGGGGACCAGGCAAGCTGCTGGCTCCAAGAAGCTGTGGGGCTGGGCCCTAGATCAGAATTTTTATGCTTGGTATTCATATAGTATATATTTTCATATTCTAAATTTTTACCTATTTTTTAAAAAATCTTATGTAAATAACCATATTTGTATCTTTTCTTCTAATCTGGCAATATTTCCTATTAATTTTTTTAAGGTTAATCAAGTATGTGTTTCTATTTAGTTCTTTCTCTTTTGTTGGCTTTTAATTATTGCTCCTTCCATTCTAAGTAACTGTTTCAGAGGTGTCAATAATCTTAAATTGCTGCTATACTTAATATGAAATCAGCATTATAACATGTCACATATAATGTAAGGTATGTAAAAATAGTTTAATTCAAGAGACTTATTGTGTTTATGTATTTCACATTTATATATGTAGTAAATCTTACAATTAATTACTAATATCCTTTTTTTTATGCTGGGATGACACACAAGGCCTTCCACATGGTTGCCAAGTGCTCTACCATAGAATTGCATCTCTAGCTTTATCTTTGCTTTAAACTGACTATGGATTTCTACAGAATTTATTATGGGAGAGTGACATGAATTTTTCCATTTGCCTACATGTTTTCCATTTTAATTGTTCCATGTATTTTTACATTAGACTTCCATTTGGTATTATTTCCTAGAGCCTGATACACTTCCACTGTCGTTTATTATGAAGTGATTTTGTTGATGAAAATTATCTCAGTTCTATCTGAAAATGGCTTTATTTTTGCCTTCATATTAAAATAAATTTTCAGTAGATATTGAAGTTGAGGATGGGGATCTTGGAGATGGAATCCATTGCCTTTTGCACTTTTGCATGCTAAGGAAGCACTGTATAATGAGTCACACTCTCGATACCTACAAATTTATTTTCAATATTTGTTTCCTTCATCATATTAACTAGTTTTTCAACTTTTTTTTGAGACAGGGTCTCAGTACGTAGTAGTGGCTGGCCTCAAACTCTTTATATAAACCAGGCTGGCCTAGAACTCACAGTGTTCCACCTGCCTTTGCTTCCCGAGTGCTGGGATGAAAGTTATGCACCACCATACTGGGCTTTCACTGTCTTTTGATTTGTAATTTTGCCTGATAATAAGTCATCTTTTTAAAATAATTTTCCTCAGTTATGTTATTCCTTTCTTTCTTCTGGGTGCATTTAATATATTTTTCTTGCTGGTGTTTTTAAAAGATTTATTATTTATTTTTTGATTATGTGTATGTGTGCATGTCTGTGTGGTGGTTTCTGCAGGTCCTTTCAGAGGCCATAAGAAGTTGAAAGATCCCCTATAGCCGTAATTATATGTGGTTGTGAGCCACCTGACATGGGTGCTAGGGACCAAAGTTTGGTCCTCTGGATGAGCAGTATGCACTCTTAACTGCTGAGCCATCTCTCTAGCCCCTGTCATTAATTTTTAATGGTTTGATTTTCTTGTGACAAGTTGTTGTTGTTGTACTTATTTTACTTTTTAATCACTGATATTCCTGAATCTGTAAGATTTTTACTTTTAAAGAACTTTAGGAAATTCCTATTTCTTTTTCATATAATTCTTAAACAATTTGTTCTCTCCCTTTAGAAGTTCAGTTATAGGCATAATAGATTATTTAATACCATCTCACTGATCATCAAGGATTTGGCTATATTTTTTAAATTATCTATCTATCTATCTACCTATCTATTTATTGTGTGTGTGTGTGTGTGTGTGTGTGTGGTGAATGAGTGTGCCACTGCATGTGGAGGTCAATAGGTAACTTGAGGTAGTTGGTTCTTTTCTTCCACCATGTGGATTTTGAGGATCAAAGTCAGGTTGTAAGGCTTGGTGACGAGTGCCTTAACCTAATGAGCCATCTTGTCAGCCTTGGATATGCTTTATTTCCAGGATTTTTTTTTCTCTTTTTAATTTAAATTAGATGGCTGTTACTACTTTCAAGTTTACTAATCTGTTTTTTTCCTCTGATTTGTTCTCTGTGCTGTTAATCTCCATAAGAAAGTTTTATTTTTATTTCATTTTATAAAAAGCTATCCCATTTCTCCAGAAATTACCCATTTTATTCAAATCCATTATGTACATTTTTGTCTACAGATTTCTTTTCTTGTTAATTTTTTGTTCTGGCAATGAACTCAGGGCAACACACGTGTACACTGTCTACCACTGAGCTACGCCTTTGCCCCAAGAACTGTAGGCTCTTTGCCATATTTACATAACTTTTAAATGTTTTTCAGCTTATTTTGACAGTCTAAATATCTAGAAGTCTGGCTCTATTGTTTGTTCTTTTCGGTTGGATAAGACTGACATTTTCCAGGTTTTTCATATGTCGCATTTCTTATTATGCATTGAATTCTGTAAATGCCATAATGTAGAGATTCCAAATTCTGTTACATTTTTGTGAAAATTTTTGACTATTGTTCTAGCAGGCAAATCCATTGCCTGAGAATCAACTTGATCTTACATTGATGGAGTTTTAGACTTTGTTACAGTGGGATATTTCCATTGCTTAGATATATTCCCTAGGCATGGCATGGAGACTTTCCTTTTAATGTATGAACATTCTGAGTCTATTTTCTTTGAAATTTTCCATGTAGTAATTACTGTATTAAAACTTACTATCAGCAAAAATCTCTTAGCTATCATTCACTAGAAAAATTTTATTGCCCTTTCCTTTTGTTATTGGGTTATATGGTAAAATTCTAAGATGTTCCCCACCAGTGTTTGTGGCTCCTAGTTATTCATTTAAGGACTTATCTGGTTACTATTGTGGAATGATGTTGCAGATATTAAATTCTCAAATTGGTTCATCTTAAGATTAAAAAATATTCTTTGTGGGACTAGTCTAATCACAGAAGCCTTTAAAGGGAGAAGATTTTCTCCAATTGGTAACAGAAATGGAAGCTAGAGAGATACAAAGAATGAGATACATAAGGGAGGATTCCCTATCCCATGGATAGTAATGTGAAAATTTTAAATATTGAAGTAAATGAATAATATATAGCACATATATACAGCATATTCATAGAATAAAAATAATTTTAAATATCAGTTGTCACCAAAGGAACCCATCAATTCAAAGTGATTCCAGCTCATAACTCAACAGATTTTGTAAAACCAAAATTTAGAAACTGATTCTAAAATGAAAAAGACATAGACTATCCAAAATAGTATTTTAAAACAAAATCCTTTATTGGAGGGCTTGTGCTACATGACTTCAAGGTGTGCAGTGATTAAGGTAGTATGATACTAGCATAAGAATTAATATGTGAACCAATATAACAGAATATAGTGCACAGAAAAAGACATTACACAATAAAAATGACATGGATAAAGGTACCAAAGAAATTGAATAAGGAAAATAAAGGCTTTTCAATGACGTTTTCTTAGACTATGAAAGTCAATAATGATAAAGCAATCACAGATTAAATTTAATCAAAATTTAAAACTTTATTGGAACAGACCATTAGGAAAATAAAGAGGAAAGATCCAGATTAGAAAATACTGGCATATCTAACAAGGACTAAAATCTGAGGGTATATAAATATCATCTGTAATTCAGTAATAAAAAGAATATTCCAATTTTTACATTTCACAAAATAAGATAGATGGCCAATAAGCTCATGAAAAGGCAACAAATGCTATTAACCATCACAGTCAACACATTCTTGCCAAAATGACTGTTATGAAAATAATTGATAGTGTCACATATTCTTTGCAACGACCTGGAGCAATTGGCTCTCCCATACCGTGCTGTTGTAAGTCTGATAAACACAAAATGCAATTTACTCTTAAATGCATAAATTCCACAATTTGCTGTTTCCTCAAGATAAAGACATATGTTGACAAAAATCTAAGCAAAAATGCTCATAGCCATTTTATTGATTATAGCTAGTATCTAACAACAATATCCTATGCAATGACAGGTAACTGGATTAAAAATCAACTGTGGCATGGAACCCTAAAAGAATTAGCAGTATAAAATGATGGTAATAATTTTTGTGTTTATGAATATATAATAATGTCAACTTCTGCATAAATAAATTTGGAATTTAACATTGTCTAGCAATCATCAACATCTTTTGGGTTCCCTGGTGGTCTTCATTATTTCAATGCTATCATTACAAATTTTAGCCTCAATTATAGCTCTTAAAACCACGTGTATTATTTTTAACTCTTAAATTGAGCTCTTTATTCTAGGAACCCCAGGCCTTCCTGGACCAAAAGGTATCAATGGTCCTCCTGGTAATCCTGGTCTTCCTGGAGAACCTGGTCCTGTAGGTAAGCATGAAAAATAATACTTTGCTGTTCTAGAAAACTCAGGATTATCATATTCAGTGTGGGAAGGTCAAATCATTTTCTGTTGTGAGCTTTTTCAAGACAAGAAAACATGGTGATCATTCACTCATCACTGTGTATTTGGTATAAAGTGAAGAGCTTTTAATAAATCTTAACAAGATCTTCTCTACCAGACCTTCCAGGGGGAATAATGCTTTCTTCAACATGAATGGCAAGTTGTAACAATGCTTTTCTTTATTGATTTCTAAAGTAAGTCATTTTTCTTGGCTCATATGAGCATCTGTAAAGTACCTCATCACTCCTCACACTTTATTCTTGAATATTATAGTGTCATATTAAAATGATAAACTGGAAAGTTTGTATATTGAGGAATCATATTGTTCATTATTGTCATTATCACCTTTCTTTGTTTAACCTTTGTTTTATAAGATTTCATGATTTGAAATAATGTCTTGGAAGTACCTTGTTACTTTTCAATAGAATAGTTCAAAGCTTGAATGGGATAAAAGGGGAAGGAAGTAAAAGGAAGTTGGAAAAATAGGTAAAACCAGTAAAACCTATTGTGATGTTCTTCAGGTGGTGGAGGACATCCTGGGCCACCAGGAGCTCCAGGTGAAAAAGGTAAACCAGGACAAGATGGCATTCCTGGCCCAGCAGGGCAGAAGGGAGAACCAGGTGCTATGCTATTTTTTTTTTCACTTTCCCTAATTTCCTCTTGGTCTGCTTAGTTTGTCCTTTTATATCTATAATGTAATTGTATGTCTTCTTTGTTATCTTCTAAGCTGCCGCACACTTTTCTCTTCAGCATTAACTTCTTCCTCTGCATCCTGATAACATTAGCTCATGTTTGTTGAACAAATTGCTTTTCTCAAAAGATTTCTAAATCTTGTACAATTTTTCGCTGTAAGAATTAGCTCAGATTTTTCAAAGTTCTATTTTACTGTCAAATCTGTATTTATGTATTTTCATTTAAATATACAAATATATTTGATACCACAAGTCAATGTGTATGCATATAGTTTTCTATGTTAGAATTGTTCTGTTAGTAATCAATAATCTGAGACTGGAGGAATAACTCGGAGATAATGAATGTTTCTATTATATACAAGACCTGAGTTCTGTTCCCAGTTCAGAAAGGAAGGAAAAGAAGGGGAGTGAGGGAAGAAAGGAGGGAGGGAAGGAAAGATAGAAGGACAGAGGGAGGGAGGGAAGGAGGGAGGGAGAGTGGAGAGGGGAGAGATAGGGAGTGAAGTCAAAGAAAGATAATGAAAGAAGGAAAAGAAAGAAATCAACCCAGCATGTTTGATATGCTATATATTATAACATAAATATCTCAATGATGTGAATATAATTTTTCATTATTTCAGTTATTCTTATTGATTTGTTTTGTATCTTAACAGGTCAACCAGGCTTTGGAATCCCAGGACCTCCTGGACTCCCAGGACTTTCTGGTAAACTTTAATAAAACATGCTAAATCTACCCATAAAGTGAAAATATTCCTCAATACATTTATTTTTCCATCTCTATTGTAAAATATACATATGTAAATTGAAAAAACTGCAAGCCGTATTTACCCTTAGTAGTAGCTCCTATTCCCATTGAATATAAGGAGTCATGTTATATAAAAACATATCCTTATGGGAAATTTTAAAATAATATCTCTTCATTAATGTCATAAATGATGCAGAAAAAAGCTAAAAATTGTAGAAAGAAATAGATACACTCCATTATAAAATTTCATTTCTCCAGAAAACCACTCTTTTTTGCCCTTAAAAGCAATATCATAGTAATATAAGAAAATTCTCTAAATATATGTACCAATAATAAAAATGTTCCTTGAAAACTCATCTTGAGCTAGTCATGATGAGACATACATGTGATCCAAGCACTCTGGAGGCTGAGGCAAGACAACGGTATATTTTAGATCAGCCTGAGCTATAGACAGAGCTTCTTAGCCATCATGAACCATTTTGCAAGGGGAGAGAGAGAGAGAGGGAGAGAGAGAGAGAGAGAGAGAGAGAGAGAGAGAGAGAGAGAGCCATCTTAATACTTGGATGGACAGATACATGTGCATACATATCTACTTTTCCTCTCTGCTGCTTCATCTCATAGTAAGCAGTAAATAGTTAGTAGAAAGACTGAGCAATTACAGATATGTGTGTTCATGTTCTAAAATGACAATTGAATGTTCTATAGAGGCTGGTTTCAAATCAAAACTATATCCTTTATAAATTCTAATATCCTTTTCATGAATTCAACATGAAAATGATTTAATGTGCCATTATTTTGTGACTCAAGCATTAGTGATATAGAAAAAATATTGAGGAGCATTTGGTCTAGATTTTGATTTTGAAGTTTGGATATAATGGTTTGTAGGCCCACATAGCAGCCATTGAGTTTTCATATCTTTCAAAATTAGAACCAAAGCATCTGTCGTAGAGATTTTCTCCATCCACTTTGAACCAATTCTTGAAGATATTTAAGCATTCTATTTTTTCTCTCTTTATTTCCTCCCAGTTACTGGTCATGTGATCATTGCTCTGTGTCCTAATACAAAGACTACCTTTTAGGATACTAGCATTGTTTTTCTATTTCCTTCTTTTTCCTCTTTTTGTGAATTTTTTTACAATATATTTTGATCATATTTAGATATCCCCTCCCATATCTGCATCTCCCTTTTGAACCTCTATGACCAAGTTTCTGTATATGCATATATGACGGGCTATAGATCCATCAATGTGGGTTCATCCATTGGAGTCTGATCAAACTACTAAAAGTCTCACATTTAAATGAGATGAGACTGCATTCATCAGTTTTCAGTAGTTCCTCAGATAGTGTTGAGGATACGGTTTCTTACCCACTTCCCCAAGTCTATGCTGGGATTTTCTCTGACTTGAGCTTATGTGAGACTTAGCCATGCTGCAGCATTGCTGTGAGTTCACATGAGTGATCTATCTTGAAAACTCTCATTTCCTAGTGCTCATCCACCTCCTCTGACTCTTACAATCTTTCTGTCTCCTCTTTTACAATGATCTCTAAGCCTTGGAAGACAGAGGTTTGAAATAGGTATCCTAATCAGGGATAAGCACTCTGAAGCCTCTTGTTCTCTGTACATTGGTCAGTTGTGCATGTCTATGTTAATCACAATCTGCTGCATAAGGAAACTTCTCTGGTGAGAGGTGAGCAATGCATTTATTTATGGATATAATGATAGGCAATTAGAAATCAGTTTAATACAACATCTTTTAGCACAATAGTTGTATTAGGCTTTCTCTCGTGATCTGTGGGCTATGTAGCCTCAGGTTCCTAGATCTGGTATTAATTCCAGGTATGGCTCCATCTTCTGAAGTGGACCTTGAAATCAATTAAAAAGCAGTTGGTATTGCTATAATATTTGTGCCATTATTATATAAGTAGGCATATCTTCCAGACCAGTTGTTGTTCTAGCTCACAGGATTAACATCTGGGTAAGGGTCTTGCTAATTTTTTGCTTCAAATAGTGTGCATAGCACCTTCCAGCACTGTGAAAGTTAGGCAGTGAAGATGAGGTTTTGAAGTCAGCACCAGCTTTATTTCTCCTTGTTTGTTCTATAGCTCATGCATGTAGTGTCTTCAGCATAGGGTCTTACTGTGAAGTTCTGGTGCATAACCAAGAGCAGCAGCAATGGCCAGTATTGTTTGAGGGTCTGTGCGACACCCGGTCAACAGCTTCAAAAGTGGGAGTCCATTCCTGGTATTGGGCTATTATTTTGCAAGTCTATGGTGTGTAGTAGAGGCAATGTCCCCCTGATGTAAGGTAACTACTTTTAATCTTTT